ATTTAAATGATCATATTGAAATTTAATATTGTGTCTCCCATCGATCGATGGGGGGATAACTTTACATGTTTTTCTATGGATTACTTACTTCATTCAAGAATACAAGAAGAGAGCTTTAGAGAGAGAAAAGAGGGAGTAACCCCCTTAATCGAAGGTTTTCTCCTACTATATATAGTCAAGTCACCCTTGTCCTTTACTTGGACCGACGCCCTCTTGCCTCCAATATGTCTCGGTCGTCCCTTTAGGCGCTGTTTCTTCCGACTCGACGGATGTCGGGAAAGAGACACAAAGTGGGCTACGCTATCTTTCACTGCCCAGTCACCTAGGCGGGACGTTGGTTAGTGTAGTCGTGACGGTCAGATTTTGACCAATATAGTGGTCCTATATCTCTTAAGCAAAAATTGATAAATGATAATGTAAATCTAAAAATAACTAGTATTGAGTCATTGTGCTACAAGAAATAACTTGATATATACCACTATATGGAGTCATTTATTGGAATCATACTATATTATAAGCATAAACTCTCAAGTTAAAGATTGAAAAGACCAAAATGCCATTAAAAATTGAATGCCCTTTTTAACCTTAAAAGTCAATTAAATTCCTACAACAATTTGTGTGCATGAATTTTTTTCAATATACGAAATAGTACAAGAACTCTCGCTTTTCACTCCAAACCATTAAGTGTAACCTTTTAACTTCCTCTTCTTCATCATTATTTAAAAGAAAAAATGGCGAAGACTTCTAAGACAGTTCCACAAAAAGAGACTGCCTCTTCATCACGGCCGACCAGCAAGGAACTAGCGGCAGAACCTCCTCTTGAGGAATTTATTCCTGGCGGGTGCTCGATCAGTGCTGATTTCAAGGTCGAGAAAACCTCATCATTACCGGGACGGTGCGAGCCGGTCTCGATATATATATGCTCGGTCACCGACAGTCTTCTCTCAAGAGTCAAGGAGGATTGCAACTGGGTTGGTAAGCACGTGGTGGTGCCTGCATCCGAGAAAGTGATTACTACCCATGTGGAGGGGTTTGTAAGTGTTTACACTTATCCCTTCACGTTGGACCCCTTAGACCCGGTCATCACCGCCTTCTGTTAGAGGTATGAGGTGACCCTCAGTCAAATTCATCCCTCTTTCTAGTGGATAGTAATTCTCCTCCACTTCTTTGTAAACAAAATCTAGGGGTGTCTCTTCACCATCAATCACCTCATGCGTCTGTACAGTCCCTGACTCTATCGAGGGGGATTAATAAAACTTGCTCGGTGGGTTAGTAAGGCCCCATTCTCGAGTATAGACGAGGACCGGGACCAAGGCTGGTTGGGCCGATTCGTTCGAGTGAAAACCTTGGATTTAATCTTGGCCGATGACATGTCATTTCTAGAGAAATAGAACATAAAACGTAAGTATAACCTTGCCTTTAAGATTTCATTTATTGATTTTCCTTTTCCTCTCTTCTTATTGGTGTTTTGTGGTGCAATTGTTGCTCGGATGCCGGATGCAGTCCCTCGACTCAAGGAGTGGGTCGAGGGCCTCGTGTCACAGAAACCCTATTCCGCGCGTGTGTGGCGCGAACTTTCAAAGGGCCGGTGGGAGGCCCATTCCCATGGTGAGTTTCCTTTACCGAATTAATAATACTTGATTTTTTTATCGTGTCGTTGAATTCTTATTTGTTTCGTTTTCTTTTTCAAGCCTTCCCAAGGGTGTTGCAATGAGGCCTCCATCCGGTAATGAGGATGTACCCATCGAGTCCCCTACTCCGAGACAGGGTGATGAGAAAAAAAGGAAGAGGGCCCCGAGTTCTCCGAGCTTGAAAAAGAAGAAAACAAAAAGAAGCATGGTGCGTAACCGCTATCATATGTCATTGGTCGTGCTCTATGTCGCTGGCCTATTTTGTTGAGTGTGACCTATGTGGTTGTCTATGTCTTCACGTACGACCTATGACGCTGGAGTATGTCGATATAGACCACGCCCATTGACATATTCTAGCGTCATAAGTAGTCGTATGATGCGTACCAATGCACTTGTCCTCGAGTTTACCACATACATAAACCATGTCGAGTAGTAAATTCCGTCTACCCATGAACCACGAGTTCATATATGTAATAATTTCAAAATCCGAGTCAAAATTGACTCTTAAAACTCAATTTTTTATTTTCAAAAACTTGACAAAGCTTCACAAATTTCTACTATTTACATGACAAACTATTTACCCTCAAAATCGGATTACAATTGTATTTATACGTGATTTTAAGGATACGTGGTTTAATATGACACAAAGCGAAAATGAATTATGAATAAAGCAAATAATAATAAAGTAACTTCAAACCATATGACTTGAACAGTTATAGCCTTGGGAAATAAGTCTCACTCGAACTGAATGTGATTCTAATGATGTGAAATATAGAAGAACAGTAGCTTGCATAAAGAAAATAATATTATAAATGCTTTGGGATGCGTATTACAATGTCCCTTTTAAATAATCACACCCTCTTTATATAGTACGAGAATCCTACTTTAGGTATAATTCTATATAAGGTAAAAAAAATCTCATAATTTGCTAATTAACCGGTTCCTCATTGATACATGCCGAGATTCCTGTAGTGATATCCGACCGATTACGGATATTTCGTCCTTCCGTTATCTGGTCCGACGATATTACCTCGGGCTCATTCGGATCGGTAACCTCGAAGACGAGTTTTCTAATTTCGTATCCTGGCTCGATGGAACCCATGGTCGATCTTTAATTCATTACGTCTTAATCTCGATCTGTCATGCAATAGATGAGCCCGATTTCGACCGTCTATAATAATATTAGGAAAAAGTAATATGAAATATATTATAGTTATGTTACCTAGTAGAAATAAGGAAAATATTCAAATAAAAACTTAAATATTAGGACTATTTATATATTTTAAATAAGAAAAGATCTAATAAGTAATTTTTTTAGTTTATTTTAAAGTTCTAAATCCTTGGAAAATGATTAAATGTTTATTTAGTCTATTGTAAACTCTATTTTTAGAGGGAAAAAAGGCTAATGATATTTCGCTAAGGACTTTCGTGTTTTTAATATAACTAGTTTTAGAGTACGCGCTTTGCGCGTGTACCATATATTAATGAATACACAAATTTAAAAAATCGCATAACTAAAAAAGTATAAATTCCTTAAAATGATGAATGTTGATCCTATTTAGCTAGCTTAACAAAAGAAAAAAACATTATTCCATAGAAGTCCTTAGATGCGTTATTCTGATTTCAAGGACTTCTATAGGAATAACTTATGAAAATTATTGTTATTTCTACGACCTAATAATGAAATAAACAGATAACACAAAAGTACTTTTCCACGATCTTTCAAATATTTGTCAAATAACACAAATTGAAATTTTAATTCTCGTGGTCTTTTAGAGATTTAAAAATGAAGAGGTAGAACTTATAGCTCCTAAAAAATTGATAATTGGTAATGTAAATGCTAAAAATGACTAATATTAAATTGATATTTTAAAATAAATTAAATAATTTATTAAAAATATTAGAAATTATCATTTTGTCGAAGTTGAATGCAAAAAGAAAGAAAAATAATTAATTAAACGCATCTAGATTATATTTTTCTTCTAATATAATGTTTCATCCTTATTGTTTCAAGTTTGTATTTTTATAAATTTGATTCTTAATCTCTTTATTAGCATAAAATTTTTAGGATGAGTTACTTACTTTAATTTCATTAATTTCATTAATTTACTCATTTTCCATAGGATATACATCCATGAAAAAGTAACATATAAGAAATATTATTATGTTACATATATAGTTAGATAAAGAAAAAAATTATGTAAGGTAGAATTTTAATTGATTTTAAATTCCTAAATTTTAGGGCTTCTTGCCTAGTTCAAATAAGTAAATATTTAATAATCAAAATTTTAGATTTCAAAGTATTAACTATTAGGATAATAATTAAATGACTATTTTGTCTACCGCGACTTTATTTTTTAATGGTAAAAAAGTGAACGACATTTCACTAAGGTCCTTTGTGCTTTTAATATAATATAGATATAGATAAGATTGTTGGCCTTTCATGCTCCACATTTGACCCATATTTTCCTCTTTTTTTCTTTCTTTCAAATAAACGATATTAAACTTTTTTCCTCTTAACAATTTCTTTTTTAGTTTACAATACGATATTTTTTTTTATAATATTAGGAAAAGCAATATGAATTATATTATAATTATACTACCAAGTTCAAAAGGAAAATATTCATATAAAGTCCTAAATATTAGGACTACTTATGCAGTTTAGATAAGGAAAGATTTAATAAGTAAAATTTTAGTTTATTTTAAAGTTTTAAATCCTAGGAAATAAATAGATATCATTTTGTCCAGCGTAAACTCTATTTTAGAGAGTAAAAAGGTGAACGAAATTTTGCTAAGGTATTCGTATAAATATTAAAAAAATATTTTATATATATATATATATATATATTTTAACTAGCGAATATAATTAATTTTAGTCCGACCAGTCAATTTTATATTTTACCCATCTAAAATTACCCTCATGTTGTATCTTTATTAGAGATGAAGAATAAAAACAATACTACCTTTTTTCCAACTATGAGGGCAATGAACAAATGATAAAATTTCTGAATTTCAGATATTAGCATATTCAATCATTTTCTTTTGAAAAGAAGTGGGAATATTCGTCTTTCCTTAATTTTTGGGGAACGGCGAGTATGATAAAATCTCTTGGTTAGGCACCGAACGCAAATAAATCAACTCTATAAATTTGGTTGATTTATAATCTCATTTTTCTTTGCATTCACACACGTTAGACAGAAACGGAAGGAGACAGCACAGTCTGTGTTGACATACAATTATTAGGAGACTAATAATAACTATCATCAATTACATACTATTCTTTCATAGATTTTTCTCAATTATCATTAATCTGATACGCTACCTAAATACTCCTACTACTATAGTAACTTCTTCAAATAACAAAAAAAAAAAAGGCTTTGGCTTTCTTTCTGCCAATTTCACAGGCTTTTAGACTTTTCACCCTTTATTTACACAAAACCCTTTTCAAGGGTTCTCTCTCTTTCTCTTTTTCTCTCTCTTTCTGTTTCTGTTTCTTTTCTTTTCTTTTCTTTTCCTATCTTCTGCCGCTTTACTATAACCCAGCAGGGGGAGCCATTTCAGTCTAAAAGCTTGTTCACCTGAAAAAAAGCTATGTCAGGTTTGTATAATCCCAACTTTTCACCTGCTAGAGCTGCTTCTCCTCAGATTAGAAGTACCCCTGATGTTGACAGGTATATATTGTTTTTTCCTATCCTATCATTTACTAATTATTTTTCTCTTTTAGCTGATTTTTTTCAACTTGTGTATTTGAATTTGGCTATGTGGGTTTTGATCTTCTTGTGTTTCTTTTATATCTTAGCAATCAGTACTTGTCAGAGCTATTGGCGGAGCATCAAAAGCTTGGACCTTTCATGCAAGTTCTTCCCATATGTAGCAGACTCTTGAATCAAGGTTACTTTTTTGAATCAATTCCTTGTCTTGGATCTATGTTTCTTGAGTTTTTGTGGGGTTTAGCTACATTTTCAGTATGTGCTTATGGTTTCTTGTGGTTATGGATGACAAGCTAGATCTGGCCCGATTGTTTCTTACCATCATGAGGAAATTGGACTCCTATATATATATCTGTTCTTGCCCATCTTTTTCTCGAGGATGGGTTGTTGGAATGGAAAAATTAAATCTTTTTTACATTTTACTCTTCTTGGATTCTGTCTGGAATGTATCCTTCTGCTGTTGAAATGGAAAACAATTGCAATCCCTCTCATTTGAGAAACATTCTAACTCTGGTTCATTTGCAGCTTGAGGTTCCCAATTCACAAGCAAGGCTCTAATTACTAAATGAAACAGATAAATGGAGACGATTATGGGGGCGCAAAAATATTCCTTTATTCAGAAAGTTGCATCTTTTCTAATAGATATAACACGTTTCGGACTACCATCCGCGACTTTTGTGCCAGTAGTTTTGCAATTAAAAGAAATCTTTTTGTGCCAATAATTATTGGGGAATCGTGATTCAAGTTTAGTGGTTCTTGTTTGGTGTGCGAATTGTGGATCATCTCAATTAGCTGTTCAAGTTTGAAATGTTATCCTAAGGGCACTTGAAACCTTTGGCTGTTTCATTGTCTTGTCACATGTCTTCTGAAAAAGCTTAAAAATTAGAAAAAGAGGAAACATGAGTAAGGCAATCAAGAAGTCATTTGTGGAAGGCAATCAAGAAGTCNGCTCAGTTGCAAATAATCAAATTACATGCTCTTCGTTTAGGAACCCTTGGTTTAGAAATCTTATGATATTTACAACTTGTCCTCATCCTTCCAGTGTACACAACATGATATGCTTATCTTAATCTTGTGGAATTTTATCAGATTTTTTTCCCAACCTTTAATGATAACTATAGTGGTTATGGTGTCAAACTGTATTTTCTTCTGGTTCATGGTCATCAAGCTATTGCAATTTTATTGAGTGATGCTTGGTTTCTAAGTATGATCTGGTTTTTTTCAGAGATTTTAAGGGTTTCCGGAATGTTGCCAAACCAAGGATTTGGTGAACTTGACAGATTGCGACATAGAAGTCCCAGTCCGATGGGTTCAGCAAACCTTATGTCTAATGTTTCTGGAGCAGGATTGGCTGGTTGGAATGGACTTCCCCAGGAGGTAATTGTCTTTTTCATGTTATCTTTGACACTTGGCTCAATGTGGTAAACGTCTTCTCTTAACCAGACTGTCCATACATATCTTGCGGGTCATGTATAGGTATGAAATCCTCTGATGTCTGCCTAACAGTAATTATGCTGTTCGGTCTAAGTGAAACAAATGGATATGAATTTTTAGTGTCTTCACATTGGTGAATAGTGTGTTGTCGCAACTATTGTTAATAAGCTTTTAAAACCAATAAAATGTATTGATTGGCATGTTTGCCTGTTTCTGGACCAAGTGCAATAGTTTACCAAATAAAGTCAGCTTCTTTTTCTTACTTTGGATCCATCCCTATTATTTTATCAAGTGCAAAATGATGGGTACTGAGGGGAGTGTCAACCATGTGATGGAGACCCAATTAAAATAAAAATAAAAAGAGATGGACTGCAAGTTCATTTTAAAAATTCAGCAATATAAGTGGCTGATAGGACTTCTACGATTTTGCGACAAGTGTAAGGCAGATTACAAGTGGTTGTTGAGCTGACAAAAGCTATATTCCAGTCTTTCAAAGGCTTCTCTATTCCTTTCTTTCCATACAAGCCAGCTAAGACATGCAAGTGATTAATTCATCCATTAGAGTACATGGACCATGTTTACAAGAATTCCTTACCCATGGAAGATTATGCCCAATTGATGTTCAATAGGTTAAGACAAGAAGATATGTTTTGGCCACTTATTTCAAAACATTTAGCATCTGGTGACAACTCAGTCTAAATAGAGCAAAATTATCCTCACTATTCTTATTAGTGGAACTTAATAGCTGCTTTATTTCTTATTGATCATAAGCTATTAAGTAACTCTTTTAGGAGCCGAGCTGCGTTCTTTTCTAAGGAAAAGACTCGTAAGTTTCTCGATGCTGCTAAATGAAACCATAGCAGCGGCTAGATAGCGACTGCCAATGGAGAGATAATGCAGAGTGCACCTCAAGGCTTTACATGGTGTAAAAATGTAGCAGTATTCACGTGCAATGGGAACAATCTTGTCATGGAATCAAAATTATTATAACTTAAGCAGCTATACGCTCTTAGATTTTCGTCTTTCTGAAATATGTTTATGCTGCTAGATATCTCAACCTGGCATACATGGTTAGGTTACGTATCAAATAAAATTAATATTTCATTGGACTGAACTGGGCTAACATGTATAGTTAATGCATAGGTCTCTAAAAAGAGATACTTATTTTATGAGGCTAATGAGATATTAGGCTTGACTTTATTTTCTAATTTAAGTTTCTATAAATAATGTAATTTTTTTCTCGTCACCATGTAAGATTTTTGAAGTACTTTACTTTTTAAATAAAGTTCTTAGCCTCTTAAAAAAATGTTCAAGCTACTTTTATATAGCCCATTTGCTTAGTTATTGACTGTCTAATTCTCAACAAGCCTCTAGAAATATTGGATTGTGTGTGTGGACATACGAGCTGTCACCTCATATCCACTTGTTGTTTAAAGTAAGATTAACTAATTCAGTTGTGTTTGGGTTTTTAAGTAAAAAAAAAGAAAGGGAAAACCTATAAACCATTTTAAGTTTTGGTGAGAGATCTTAGAGAATTGCAGCAAAAGTACCGAATAAGCTAAAGAGAAAACCATAGAATTTCTCTTCTACATGTGCATCCTGATGCCCCTCCCCAGGTAGGTAAATCTGCGTACACACTACCCTCCCCAACCGCACTTGTGGGATTCCACTAGGTTTGTTGTTGTTGTCATGCGCATCCTCAAGGTTTGAGCAAGGTTTGCTGGACCCTGAAATTACATGTCTTGTCCTTGCCTTATTTGTTTCTTGTAAAATTCCGATTGAAAAGCTTAGATATGTTATTATTCTACTAGTTTTAATATTCAATTTTAAAAGGGAGAATGTTTTGCTGTGAAGACGTCTTCTTCAGACGTGGAAGTTCTTTAGGTTTTTGGTTTCGCTTCTCAGGCATTCCGTTTGGGTGTCATATATGTCCATTAGCGGCAGAGTATGGTAATCTGATTGATCTACAATTTAAACAAGCATACGAGGCCAGGGAGGGATCTTAAGTTTCTGATACATTCCATGTATAATATTGAAGCCTTAAGGATGTGGATGGCACAGATTATGGACATAAAATTTTGGAAGCTTCAGAATATCTTTCGGTTAACAAGGGTGATGCGAATGTTGAATTTGCTATATTCTGAATATAGATTTTTGTGGGACGAAGATGTTTGGTTCAAAGATGAATGATGATTCATTGTATGTTGTGTTATCTTGTTGCCTCTCCATCTAGACGTCAATTTTTCATAATACCAGAAGATTGACCTCCTAAAAGAATATAGGCAAATCCGTAAAATGCAAAATTAGTTCCCTGAAGATTCTAATTTTATCTCTTCGGGTATAGTAATCTTAAGGTAGGGAAGTAGAATTTTTGCTGGAGAATGAGTGAAGATACAGACGGTCTCTAGTTCGTTTGGAGGCTGTTATGTTCGGTCAGTGGCAGTGCACACTGGTTGGAACATTAATAACAGTTGAGGTCGATCTCTCTGACTGGTTTCAGCTCTATAGCTGTGTACATCCTGTTGAACATTTTCAGAAGGATTGGTAGTTACTTTTATTTATTTTTAAAATACAAGTAAACGGAGTGGTTGACAGTTTCTTTTGTCTTCTTAATACTCTTTCAATTGGCATATTTTCCTATTTTACCATCCAAAGTACCAACCATTTTGTTGTCAGCTAACTGGTGCTCTTCTTCTTTGCTAGTTATTTTTCGTAATGTTCTCTAAAATATCAATTTCTCAAATTGTGCCAGAGGTTAAGTGGACCTCCTGGAATGTCAATGGACTGGCAAGGGGCCCCAGCAAGTCCTAGTTCGTACACTGTGAAAAGAATATTGCGCTTAGAAATTCCAGTCGACACTTATCCGAATGTAAGGCTGTTATTGTTGTTGCTTAGTTACTTTTTTTTTTGGGATAGATAAATGCTTAGTAGTATAGCCTTGTCTGAACNGTGTTGTTGCTTAGTTGCAGTTTTCTTTGGGATAGATAAATGCTTAGTAGTATATAGCCTTGTCTGAACTTTGGACCAACTTCTTTGTGGATTTCAGTTTAACTTTGTCGGGCGACTTCTGGGTCCCAGAGGAAATTCATTGAAACGGGTGGAAGCTACTACAGGATGTCGTGTTTTTATTAGAGGAAAAGGGTCAATAAAAGATCCGGACAAGGTAGTTTTCATCTTCTTTTCTTTCTTACAATTTTTGTTTATTAATACTGACAATTTTAATTGGAATATNTCTGACAATTTTAATTGGAATATGGGACGGACTTTTGGTATTTCAAAATTTAGTTTATCCAGAACAAAGACTTCTTTATGAAAAAAAAGGTCGATGAAAGACTATTCAATTTGTAGATTTCTAGCTCTAGGTAGATCACGTGTCTTTTGTGGAGTCGTATGTGTGAACTGTATCATTGAAGTTCTAATATATTTTCGCTGTTGATAACTTCAAGGAGGAGAAACTAAGGGGAAGACCAGGATATGAGCACCTGAATGAACCA